TCCAGTTCCATTCTTCTTTCTCAAGATTACTTTGGCTATTCGAGGTACTTTGCTGGTGAAGTTTAATAATTAATTTCAAAGCCACTCACCTTCAAAGGCTTCCTAATTGCCTTAATCTTGTGCCTATGATGGTTTCTGTGTGTTTCATGTTCTATTAGTTGGGAGTTAGAATTTTAAATTATCCTGCCTTATTAGCCAAAGTCCTAGTGATCATTACAATAATGAGAACCTGAGGAGAAAAGAAGTCCTTTTGGAATAAATGTTTCTACTAAATGGTTCTCGGAATAACGCATCCACTAAAAAGTGCTGTGCTGTGCTATACCCTGTGGTCTCATACCATGTAATTGTCTATATTTCACATAGAAATTAAAAGTCTTACAGAATTACCTACTGCTCCAAGGTCATGGGCTTAAGTGTCACTAAATTTCTGTCACCAGCTCTATAGCTGCTATTGTTAGGCCCTCAGAGGAGAGCCCCACAGACTAGCTGGAGAAAGTCATTTTCCAGCCTGCCATGGAAGCCAACCATTTTGTGTAATATTCAACCCCAGCAGCCTATTTCATCACTAGATGGCCGTGTTGGTCTGCTGAGTGGCTTACAGCAGCACATTGTGTGCCCTGCAGGAATTTCAGTGCTAATTCTTGTTCAGTCATTCAGTCATGTCCAAGTCTTTGCCACCTTGTGAACTGCAGCATGCCAGGCTTCCCTGTCCTTCACTATATCCCTGAGTTTGCACAGATTCATGTCCCTTGAGTTGATGATGTCATCCAACCATCTCATCCTCTGTTGCCCCCTTCTCCTCATGCCCTCAATCTTTCTCAGCATCAGGTCTTTTCCAGTGAGTCGGTTCTTCACATCAGGGTGGCCAAAGTAGTGGAGCTTCAGCTTCAGCATCAGTCCTTTCAATGAATAGTCAGGGTTGATTTCCTTTATAGTTGACTGGTTTGATCTCCATTCAGTCCAAGGGATTCTCAAGAGTCTTCTCCAGCACCACAATTTGAAAGCAACGATTCTTCAGGACTCATGTATAATACACAATTTATTCATGTTATTTATATGGTAAAAAAGTATATATGCCTGAATATTTTATTTGCTTCATCTGTCTCACACTAATAATTGTGTTATTTTCTATCACTGCAAAGTGTTTTTCTGCTTTTTCTTCTGCCTCCAATAGTGATGGGGGTTCTGGGGGCTTTTTTGGAGGTGGGGCTGCACTGGGTCTTTGTTGTGGCACTCGGACTTTCTCTAGTTGCAGCACTCAGGCTTAGTTGCCCTTTGGCATGTGAGATTTTAGTTCTCCAACCAGGGATTAAACCCACATCCCCTGCATAGGAAGGCAGATTCTTAACACTGGACCACCAAGGAAGTCCCAGCAGTGATAGTTTGATGTATTTTTATGCTATTGTCTGGCACATATTGATTTATTTTATTATATTTTTATTATTGAGTTTGTATTGTACTTAATATAACTTGACCTATTTTGTCCCATTTAATTATGTTTGCCTTGAATTCTAATATAGCCAATGTTACTCTTATCACTTCTTATCACTTAGGGTTGTTTTTTTTTTTCTCACATTTGATTGATATATCTCTATGCATCCTTTAATTTGTAACTTCTCTGTCATTTGTTTTAACGTAATGTTTTGTAAATGGTTTGAATTCATTTTCTGATACAATTTTGAATTCAGTATTTCCTAATTAGGTTGGGTAGAGGGAGATTAATATATTTACATTTGCAGTAATATAAAAAATTGATAATAAACATAGAAATTTCTTCCTTACCAAATATACTTATTTAATGGGTTTCCCCAATGGTTCAGTGGGTAAAGAATCCACCTGCAATGCAGAAGACACAGGAGATGTGGATTCGATTCCTGGGTCAACAAGATCCTCTGGGAGAGAAAATGGCAACCCACTCCAGTTTTCTTGCCTGGAGAATCTCATGGACAGAGGAACCTGGCGGGCTATAGTCCCAAGGGTCGCAAAGAGTCAGAAACAACTGAGCAACTAAGCACACACATTTATTTAATATCACGGTCATAGCAACTGTAATTAAAGCATGTTTTTAAATTGTGTTTCCAGGGTCTTTTGAGACTTATATTAACCCACCTGATCGGGACGCCTATTCTACAGTGAAGGAGAATGATCAACTCATAACAGTGGAAAGGGTGCCCTCAAGCTATAATTTTTGGCATCCAGAACTAAGTTCTTTCCATAAGTTAATCCTTATTAAATGCTGTAAAGAAGAAAAGGTAGGATATTTTTCATTAAAGAACTGTGTTATAATTATTTCTGATAAAGCTCACCAGCCAGTTATGATTCATGGACTGATTAGATTTGTTTAGAAAGTAACAATGACCGAATTTGGGAAGTAGTTTGTGACTTTGTGTTGTTAATAAGAAACGGAGACTTTGTGTTATTAATAGAGCACAATATTCTATATAGGAAATTATGAGAGAAAAGACTGGAGAGGCATCCAGGGACCCAGAGGAACTTCCTTAATGTTGCCATGGGGAACGTGTGCTTCCCGCCAGGGAAGTCAGGGCTCTGCTGGACGGTGTCAGCAGGGCACTAGTGGGCCTTTCAGAACTTGGCAGCAATGAGGAGGCATTTGGGGTTTTTTTGTTTGTTTTGTTTTGCCATCTCTTCTTTTTTTTATTTTTTTATTTATTTATTTTTTTTTTTTTTGCATTTATTTTTATTAGTTGGAGGCTAATTACTTTACAACATTGCAGTGGTTTTTGTCATACATTGAAATGAATTAGCCATGGATTTCCCCATCCCGGTCCCCCCTCCCACCTCCCTCTCCACCCCATCCCTCTGGGTCTTCCCAGTGCACCAGGCCTGAGCACTTGTCTCATGCATCCAACCTGGGCTGGTGATCTGTTAAAAACATAGTCACCAAGACCATTTTGAAGATGGTTGACATAATTATGTATGAAATTATGGCAGCTTGCATAAAATAGAATGAAATGGCACCATTTGCAGCAACATGGATAGACCCAGAGACTATCATATTAAGTGAAGTTAAGTCAGACAGAGAAAGAGAAATATCCTATAATATCACTTATATGTGAAATCTAATAAAAAAGTGATACAAATGAACTTATTTACAAACCAGAAACAGACTCATAAATCTTGAAATCAGACGTATGATTACCAAAGGAGAAATGTGGAGGGAAATAATAAATTAGGAGGCTGGGCTTAATATATACCCACTACCATATATAAACTAGATAACAAGCACCTACTGTAAGGCACAGGGAACTCTACTCAATATCCTGTAATAACCTATATGGGAAAAGAATCTGAAAAAGAATGGAGATATATACATATGTATATGTATATATATAATTCACTTTGCTGTACACCTGAAGTTAATAAAACATTGTAAATCAACTGTACTTCAATAAAAATTGTTTTAAAATTATGGCAACCTGAATTAAGATAGAGATAGTAGATTAAAGAGATGGAGGGGGATGTGGAGATGGGGCAACTAGTATAGCTCTTGGTTTTTGTGTGGGTGCCAAAGGGGAGAGTTGTATCAACAACTAAGCAAATGTGAAAGGAGAAACATGTCAGATAAAGACGTCACTGAGTCTGCAGTATCTACCAACATCAAAGTGTATAGTTGTCTGGGGACCAGTTAATATCTGGGTAGAAAACTTTAGAGAGAAATATAGCTTAAAAAATAGAGATTGGGGAATCATTAACATTGAGTTGGAAAGTAAAATCACAGGAGTTGTTAAAATCATAGAGGGATAATAGGTTAAGAGGACAGATGGGCAAAGGATGAAACCCTGAGGAGCACCAACTTTGAAAAGACAAAGAGAAAGGATGAGGAGCCCTTGAGAAGGAAGAGGCAGAGGGGCAAGAAGAACACCAGGAGAAAGAAATAATGTGGAAACCAAGTAGGCGCAGTGTTTCAATACAGCAAGAATTATCAACAGATTGTAATGAATGGAGGGTGTTCCATGAGAAATGGGAGAAAGAAAACACACTGGAGAAAATCAAACCACAGTTTGGAGATATTGAGGCTATACTGTTGGGTTTTCTACCATCTCGTTAGGAAAACAGAAAGGCTGTGAGGTTGGCCTGAACAACTGATAATTGCAACAGATGAATGGAAGACAGAAGGTCATTGAGACTGTTGGTAAAAGTAGTTCTATAAGGGGAAGAGCTCTAAGAAAAAGCTTATAGACTGAAAGAAGAGGGAAAACCTTGAAAGTTTCTTTGGAAGCAAATGTAGTTGGACTAGGAATCTAGCACAGTTAGAAGGACAAGAGAGGTTATGATCAAAGTTGAGCTTAAAACTTCTAATGAGAAGTTCCAAGTGGTGACTATGTCCTAAGGGTGGCCATAGGTATGGGTGACTAAGAAAGTGATGAGATGATGTGCACTAGAGTTTGAGGTCAAGGCACTGTGCAGTTAGGATATGGGAGGTCCTTCTGGACCCTGAACCTGGGTTGTGTCACCCCAGATGATGACAAGACAATGCCTGAGATACAGTTGATAAATCACTGGAACAGACGTAAATGGAGAGGAAGCCATAAGCTAGCTGGCAAGTCTTCAGTGGATATGGGACAGTGGCTACCAGGTCGGATACTGACAAAGATGAAAGGACGATTAAACAGCAGTAGTCCCAAAAAAGGAGTTTTAAAGATTGAGACACAGGCTAGAAAATTCTAGACTATGGGAACTTTTTGTTGTTTTTGTTTCATATTCTGTGTCTCTGTGTATGAGCTAAGGTTATTAAGGTTATAACCATAGAGGACAAATTTAATAAGTTCAAGACTAAAAAGGATATATTAAAATAAAAGGATACTGGGGTAGCTCTTTAAATTTGAGGAAAAGCCAGTTAATCACACTTCAGGAGGAGCAGCTCACTGGGCAACTCACTGAACATAACTCTGTAGTATTGCCATTGATAGCACTCAACTCTCAATGAAATTGTTCTTCTAGTTTCAAATTCTCAAGAGAGAGATTCTGATTGGTCCAGCTGAACTTAAGTTTTGTTCCTGGTCCAATCAGCTACAGATAGGAAAATTGCATCATGCAGTAGAAATATGACTACACAAGAGTTCTAGGGAAGAAAACAGATGCTGGTGGGCTAGATCCATGCAAGATTCCACCGGCCATGGGGCCTTGTCTCACAGCCAATATTCCCATTTCTCTGGTCCAGAGAAGATCAGACTCAGGAAAGACCTAAGACTCACCTTCTATCGTTTAAAGACCAGTACCTGTCCCTCAGCTTCTGTCCATAAAACATTTAACAAATACCTTGGTGAGCAATTGTTGTATTCCAAGCACTGAGGATACAATTGTGAAAAAGAAAAACTTCTTTTTTCTTATGAAAAAGAAAAACTACTCCCAAAGGCTTGTATTCTAGTGGGAGAAAAAAGGGACAGAAAGAATAAAATACTTTCTGCTCGCAGAAAGTTATTGTAAGGACATGAAATGGAAGTTTCAATAAAAGTAGTAGAGTGGAAACTAGAGTAGGAAGCCAAGGAGGACCTCTTTGAAGAGGTGATAGTCTCAAGTTCTCATATAAATCGTTTCCTGTGTCATACCAACATCCTGTGGGAGCAGACTGGAGGGTGTCCGGGGAGCAGCAGGGAGACCTGGAACAGGGCCCCTGGATGGGGAAGCCTAGCAGAGACTCGAGAGCAGACCAGTTGGGAGAAGGAAGAGGGTTCCAGAGGAGAAGGGCCAGGAATAGCTCAGAGCCAGGTCCTTCAAGCTGTGGTTAGAGTGATTGCTCATGGGAACAAAAAAGAAGTAAACAGAATGAGAAATGGAGTGGAGCCCTGCACCAGAAGTGGGTGGAGTCACTCCCCTCAGGCACCACCTAGGCTTTGAGAGGGGAGGAGCAAAAGGGCTTGGTAGAAAATGATTTCCTACCCCTCCCAGTCATGAAATCCAGGTCAGCCTGAGGACAAGGATTTTTTTGTTTGTTTGTTTTTAATTAATTTTTTATTGGAGTATGGTTGATTTACAATGTTGAGAGGTTTTTTTTTTGTTGGTTTTTTTTTTTTCTTGTCTCTTGGACCCTTTGGAGAATATGATGAAAGTTGCAAGCCTTCTTAGAAAATACACAAATGCTCTTCCACATATGATTATCTAATTCTAGTTAAGAATCTCAATCTTGGGAAATGAAGTGTGTTCTCTCTCACACACACACACATTTATTTTTTACATTTTTTATTTTTACCTTTTCACCCTCTGCATCCATTTTCCCCTCTCTGGCACACACCAGTATATGCTCTGTATCCAGAAGTTTGTTGTTGTTGTTCCTATTTTTTAAATTTATTTTTTAATTGGAGGGTAGTTGTTTTACAGTGTTGTGTTGGCTTCTGCCATGCAGCAACACAACTCAGGCATAAGTATACATATGTCTCCCCTGCAGAAATTCCCTTCTACCCCCTACCCCATCCCATTCCTCTAGGCTGTCACAGAACACAATGTTGAGCTCTCTGTGATATATAGCAATCTCCCATTAGCTATCCATTTTACACATGGCAATGTATATGATCCAATGCTACTTTCTGAATTCATCCAACCCTCTCCTTCCCCCTCATTGTCCACAAGTCTGTTTTCTATGTCTGCATCTCTATCCCTGCCCTGAAAATAGGTTCATCAGTACCATCTTTCTAGGTTCCATATATATGTGTTAATATGAGATATTCATTTTTCTTTTTCTGGCTTATTTCATGCTGTGTAACAGGCTCTAGGTTCATCCAACTCACTAGAACTAACTCAAATGCATTCCTTTTTATGGCTGAGTAATATTCTGTGTATATATATACCACTACTTCTTTATCCATTCATCTGTTGATAGATATCTAAGTTGCTTCCTTGTCCTGGCTATTGTAAATAGTGCTGCAGTGAACATTGTGGTCCATGTATCTTTTTGAACGATGGTGTTCTCAGGGTGCATGCCCAGTGCTGGGATTCTTGGGTCACGTGGTAGTTCTATTCCTAGTTTTTTAAGGAATCTCCATACTGTTCTTAGTGGCTGTATCAATTTACATCCCCACTAACAGTGCGACAAGGTTCGCTTTTCTCTGCATCCTCTCCAGCACTTATTTTTTTGTAGATTTTTTGTTGGTGGCCATTCTGACCCACGTAAGGTGGTACCTCATTGTGATTTTGATTTGCATTTCTCTAATAATGAGTGATATTGAGCATCTTGTCATATGTTTATTGACCATTTGTATGTCTTCTTTGGAGAAATGCCTGTTCAGGTCTTTCAACAACTTTTTGATTGGGTTGTTTGTTTTTCTGATATTGAGCTGCATGAGCTGCTTGCATATTTTGGAAATTAGTGTTTTGTCAATTGTTTCACTTGCAATTATTTTCTCCCATTCTGAGGATTGTCTTTTCATTTTGTTTATAGTTTCCTTTGCTGTGCAAAAGCTTTTAAGTTTAATTAGGTCCCAATTGTTTATTTTTGTTTTTATTTCCATTATTGCAGGAGTTGGGTCAAAAAAGATATTGCTGTGATTTATGTCAGAATATTTTGCCTTGTTGCTATTTTTAAGGTTCTACATATGAAAGATAATATGTTTGTTTTTTTCTGTCTGACTTATTCCACTTAGTATAATGCCCTCAAGGTCCATTCACATTGTTGCAAATGGCAAGAGTTCATTCTTTTTTATGAGTGAGTAATATTCCTATGTGTGTGTGTATCACATTTTCTTTATTTATTTATCCATTGATAGACACAGGTTGTTTTCATGTCCTGGCTATTATAAATAGTGCTGCAGTGAACACGGGCGGGGGGTGGGGGGGAGCATGTATTTTTCTCAAGTTATTTCTTTCATTTTCTTAAGAGAAATACCCAGAATTATGAGTGCTGGATCATATGGTAGTTCTGGTTTTAACTTTTTGCAAAATATAAATACTGTTTTTCATAGTGGAGACATCAATTTACATTCCTAGCAACGATGCCTCAGTTCAGTTCAGTTCGGGTTCCCTTTTCTCCAGATCCTCACCAACATTTATTCCTTGTCTCTTTAATAATAGTCACTTTAACAGGTATGAAATGATATCTCATTGTGATTTTGATTTACATTTCCCTGATGATTAATGATGCTAAGTAGACAGATATATGTCTTTTCTGGAAAAGTGCCTATTCAGATCTTCTGTCTATTTTTTAATTGGATTGTTTGGGATCTTTTTGCTATTGATTTGCATGAATTTCTTATATATTTTTGGATTTTAACACCTTATTAGATGTATGGCTTGAAGATACCTTCTCCCATTCCATAGGCTGTCTTCTTATTTTGTTGATTGGTTCTTTTGCTGCACAGGAGCTTTTTCATTTTGTATAGTCCCACTTGCTTATTTTTGCTTTTGTTATTTGTGCTTTTGGTGTCATATCCAAAATCTCGTTGCCAAAAGCTACATCAAGGAGCCTTTCCCCTGTTTTCTTCTAGGAGTTTTATGGTTTTGGGTCTTATATTTAAATTTTTAATTCATTTTGAGTTTATTTTTATGAGTGGTATAAGCAGGAATGTAAATTGGTATAGCCACTAGAGGAAACAGAATGGGAAAGCATAGTCTCTTCAATAAATTGTGTTGGGCAAATTGCATATTCAGATGCAGAAAAATGAAAATGAACCCGTATCTTGGGTCAAACTCATGTTGTTCGAGGGTTGACTCTATAAGATCATATCATCTGCAAATAAGGACATTTTTAATTCTTCCTTTCTGATTTGGCTACCTTAATTCTTTGTCTTGCCTAATGGCTCTGGTTAGAGCTTCTGATACTATGTTGAAATGGATATAGTCTTTTAATGTTTTTTCTTTTAACTTTCAGGTGGTTTTTGCTCTTACAGACTTTGTAATAGAAAATCTTGGGAAAGCCTTTATAGAGACACCACCTGTGGACCTGCCCACTCTGTATCAAGACATGTCATACAACACTCCCCTGGTATTTATCTTAAGCACAGGCTCAGATCCCATGGGTGCATTTCAGAGGTTTGCCCGGGAAAGTGGATATTCAGAAAGGTAAGGTCACATTGTGCAGTTTTAATCATTCATATGAACATCGTCTAGTTAAAATTTGCCTTTTTTTCCTTCCCTCTGTGGAATGTGAATTCATAATTCAGGTATCCCTTACTAAATAAGTTAAAATACTTTAATGTTAGCTATGCATGTGATTAAAGTGGTAGTAAATTCATAAAAACAGATGTAAACTTCATTTCAGCAAAGGGGAGATTGTTTAAATATTGAAGCATAATTAATGAAATAATAATTTAAACATTTGCTATTTAAGACATTATTTTAATGTAACTGTAAAAGGACTGTAGTTTGCGCCTTATACTCAAATATACAAAAAAATCCCATAGCTCTCTAGGTTGTATTATTAATCCCTTCCTTCTCCTGAGCCTCTATTCTGTGAAGTAAGAAAGGGAGCAGGAAGTTTAAACTTGTGAATTTACAATATTATATTTTTTTCAGACTTAAATCTCTCCAGAGTAAGCTGTTTTGACTCCTTTCTCATAAAAACTCAGTCTTCCTGACTCCTTCTTTCCCCAGTCCTCCCCAAAATGGTGTTCTGATGGGTAGAAAAGTACACAAGACCATGGGATAGCAGGTGAGAGTAGGGGTCTCATATCTAGGAGGTAATCTCCAGCTCCAACAGGCCCTTGCATGGAGATTACAAGACAATGAATTCCATCTGTTCTTTGAAGTTCAAAGAGTCAGATACAACTAAGCAACTAAACAACAACAATCTTTATTAGTCAAGCTTCTCTAGAGAAACAGATATATATGGATATATATATATATACACACACATATAATACAAATTATATATATTATGCAAATAACATATATATATTACCCTATTGTTGTTGTTGTTCAGTTCCTCCATCATGTCCAACTCTTTGCGACCCCATGAACTGCAACATGCCAGGCTTCTGTGTCCTTCATTATCTCCTGGAGTTTGCTCAGACTCATATCTATTCAGTCAATGATGTCATCCAATCATTTCATCCTCTGCTATCCCCTTCTCCTCCTGCCCTCAATCTTTCCCAGCATCAGGGTCTTTTCCAATGAGTCAGCTCTTCACATAGGGTGTCCAAATATTGGAACTTCAGCTTCAGCATCAGTCCTTCCAGTGAATATTCAGGGTTGATTTCCTTTAGGGTTGGCTGGTTTGCTCTCCTTGCAGTCCAAGGGGCTCTTAAGAATCTTCTCCAGCACCACAGTTCAAAAGCATCAATTCTTTGGCACTCAGCCTTCTTTATGGTCCAACTCTCACACCTGTACATTACTACTGGAAAAACCATGGCCTTGACTATATTATGCTATATATGTGTGTATATATATTATACATAAAATGAGATATTTGCTTACATGATTATGGAGGCTTATCTCCAAAATCTGTAGTCAACAAGAAAGAAACACAGGAAAGTCAATGCGTAATTCTAGTCCAAGTCCAGAGCTCTGAAAACCAGAAGTAGTAATGATACAAGTCCCAATCTGAAAGCCAGCAGACTCAAGATCCAAGAAAAGCAGTGTTTTCATTTGAGTCCAAAGGCAAAGAAATAAAATGACCCAGCTCAGTCAGGCTGAAGGAGTTCCCTCTTTCTCAAGTCTTCTGCTCAAGTCTTCACTTGATTGGGTGGGCCCCATCTATATTAAGGAGGAAAATCTGCTTTACTCAGTCTGCTGATTCAAATATTAATCTCACCCAGAAACATCCCCACAGACTCATTCAGAATGATGTTTGACTTAATGTCCGGGCACTGTGTGACCCAGTCCAACCTCACTAGTAATTAGGAAACAATAAGTTAAAACCATTAAGAAGATATTTCGCACTCATCAAATTAGCAAAACCATACCAAAGACAGGGAGCTATAGAAATATTCATATTGCAAGTGGGAGTGAAAAATTAGTTAAAATCATTTTGAACAGAAATTAGCAGTATATCAGAGTTGCAGAGAGCATTCCCCATACCCCAACAATTCACTACTGAATTTGCATGTTCAAAGTCAGTTACTGGGCAAAGAGCCATATTCAGGAACATTTGTAGAAACATGTTTATTTTTTTTTCCATTTATTTTTATTAGTTAGAGGCTAATTACTTTACATCATTACAGTAGTTTTTGTCATACATTGAAATGAATTAGCCATGGATTTACATGTATTCCCCATCCCGGTCCCCCCTCCCACCTCCCTCTCCACCCGATCCCTCTGGGTCTTCCCAGTGCACCAGGCCCGAGCACTTGTCTCATGCACCCAACCTGGGCTGGTGATCTGAGAAACATGTTTATAATAGCAACAACAAAGAAAAACCTGGAAACAACCAAAATGTCCATCTTAAAAAACTATATAAATTGTGGCATATTCATAAAATTGAATATAATACCTATAGCCATGAAAATAAATAAATTAGGACTATGTTTATTAATATGGATGGGTCACACAAACTAATATTGGGCAAAATAAATTAGGCTGCACAAAAATTATACAATATTTGAGAAGTTTGATAAATAATATAAAATTATTAAACAGATATATATTATATACTGCTTATGAATTCACATTTTTGCAATAATCATATAAAGAAAAATATGAAAGTTATACCAAGTCCAGGAGAGCAGTGACTTTGTAGAAGGTGAAGTTTGGGTAATAAAAAGAGTGAACAGGGAGGGGCATAATGCAAGCTCAGATCATATGGATAATGTTTTACTTCTGAAGCTGGGTATGGGTAGATACTTACATTAACTTTATAACTTTTGTTATAAATGTGACATAATCTTTTGTTATAAAGGTGTTATAAAGGTAAAATACTTGGCTGATGAAATTAATAGTGAAATAAACAGCCTTAATCTTTATACTCAACAAATAAAACAAATGTAAGATCTTCAAATACATATGCAGCATTTATAAAATTAATGATTTTCTAAGACATAGGTATTTCAAAAAGAATAAAACTTATTCCCTGACCACAATAAGTCTTAGAAATCTTAAAAGTTAATTTTTTTAATACTTGGAAAGCAAAGAAATGTTCTTCTGAACAGCTTGTTTGTTAAAGGGAAATAATACTGGAAAATTTCTAATAAATGGACAATGACAAAAACAACATAACCTATCAAAAACCAGGAGGGTTTAGTAATAAGACACTTGGTGTAAATTTATACATATGTAATGACTTCTGGTTCCAGAAATGTCAGACTAAGAACTCAGGCTGATATTTGGCCTTGGAGTACAGAATGAAGCAGGGCAAAGGCTAATAGAGTTTTGCCAAGAGAACGCATTGGTCATAGCAAACACCCTCTTCCAACAACACAAGAGAAGACTCTACACATGGACATCACCAGATGGTCAACACCGAAATCAGATTGATTATATTCTTTGCAGCCAAAGATGGAGAAGCTCTATACAGTCAGCAAAAACAAGACCAGGAGCTGACTGTGGCTCAGATCATGAACTCCTTATTGCCAAATTCAGACTTAAATTGAGGAAAGTAGGGAAAACCACCAGACCATTCAGGTATGACCTAAATCAAATCCCTTATGACTATACAGTGGAAGTGAGAAATAGATTTAAGGGACTAGATCTGATAGAGAGCCTGATGAACTATGGACAGAGGTTTGTGACACTGTACAAGAGACAGGGATCAAGACCATCCCCATGGAAAAGAAATGCAAAAAGCCAAAATGGTTGTCTAAGAAGGCCTTACAAATAGCTGTGAAAAGAAGAGAAGTGAAAAGCAAAGGAGAAAAGGAAAGATACTTCCATTTGAATGCAGAGTTCCAAAGAATAGCCAGGAGAGATAAGAAAGCCTTCCTCAGCAATCAATGCAAAGAAATAGAGGAAAACAACAGAATGGGAAAGACTAGAGATCTCTTGAAGAAAATTAGAGATACCAAGGGAACATTTCATGCAAAGATGGGCTCAATAAAGGACAGAAATGGTATGGACCTAACAGAAGCAGAAGATATTAAGAAGAGGTGGCAAGAATACACAGAAGAACTGTACAAAAAAGATC